CCACTCATGATCTGCCATGAGTGGTGAGGAATGTCACCTAAGGGTCACTTATAACCAACCACTGCGGAGCAGGAAGAGTTAAGCCTTCTGCATTAAACACAGTAGCCTCATTTAATGGTGTGATTAGGGGAGTACATTATTTTATATTTTCATGATACAGATGCGTCTTAAAAAGGAGAAATACATAGGCAGCCACTGCCAAGTGCCTAATAAACATTTTAGGCATCAATCTGCCATACAGATCTGCAGGATTTAACATTTTCTGAATAAGTGAGGAAAAACTACTAAGAAGATCAGGCATTCAGACATCATACACAGGTGTGTCTATAAGTCAGGAAATAATGACGTTTGAGATAGTGAAGAAACTAGAAAGTTTAGGAAGGCAGCCTACATATTTTTGAACATGTAATGGCTGAAGTTAAATAAAATAAACCTCCAAGTGGTTTGAGGTTACACAAAGCTATATTATTTTGGTAAAAGCTGCAGGTTCTACCCTCCTGTTAGGTTTCCAGCACTGGGTGGAATTCAAATTTATAATTTCTCACCTGTTTCTTATTTTCAGGGAGATCTTCTTCCATTGGCTCAGGCTTGTTCTCTTTTTTCGGCTGAGTGGGAGGTGGTGGCGGCGGTTCCTCATCATCATCATCCACAGTGCCTAGATCTACTCCAAGTAATACACTCAAAGTGGTCATAACTCGTGGATCCTGAAGCTTTCTACAAAGCAAAAGAAGAAAAAAAAAAGAAAAAAAAAAAAAAAAAAACCTACAACATATGCTCATATGACTGCTGAAGAACTTACAACAGTGGCCATGTCCAATTTGATTTATTTAAACTGTTTCAGCCAAAATAAATATAAAAATCTACAAAACCAGAAAATTGAAATACTCTGGTATGCAAATACTAGTATTTAGAAAAGGACTTACGAGAGAGAACTGCTATTTTCCTTCCCAGGAGTACCGTATTTGCCAGCGTATAAGACGACCCCTACTTTGTGTTAAAATATGGTTTTGGGCTATACTCGTCATATAAGACGAGTATAGCCCAAAATAATGTTTAAATGCACCCAGTAACATCCATGGCGGTATTCCCGAGTGTGGCTCAGGGTTAATTTTCAGTACCATAAGCGGTAACCCC